AACCCATGACAGAATAATGAACTCTATGAAAATTAAAGTTTAAACCACTCAGCATGTATTGAGAATACCGGATGTAATTTTCTGGATTTTGTTGACTATGTGTATGTCATTAATAAAATAAAACCACTCTGAAATGGAACAAAACAGATTCATCTTGATAACATCGATTCAATTTAATTATTTTATCAAAGTTGGATGTAGAAGCAGCACTCTTAATGTAAGATTCTGTGGAATGAACACTGGCTAATTCCAGACTGAATCAGAAATCATAATCACTCAATTAAAGGTGGGGTATGTACTGTGCAAAGCATTAACAAATATGAATGGGTATATATGTGTGGGTTGGGGGAGAGGGGCTGGGATGTAGAATTTTGGGGGGGATAATCTTCATGCTGGTCCCATAGGCTACACTCCTTCTTGGAGCAACAGTGCCAATTTTTATTTTATTTTATTTATGTTTACGTTGTACATCCTGTGATTCTCCCAATTAAACTCTGTCACTTTTAATCTTGAGAAGTCATCCCCAATCTGGATACAGCAGTGTTCTTTCAATTCCACAGCTATATCCACTGACATCACTTATTTTTACTTTTACTGGAAATTAATCCACATAACTATTCTTAGGAAGCAGCAGTGAATAGAACAAGCATTTGCAACCTTGTGCCAAAAAGAAGAGAGGTAAGTTGCATTAGCATGTACTTGCCGTAAGAGGGGCCAACTGCCAGAAGGTTGGCAATTATACCTTCATTATACCTCCCGTGTGAGCACAACTGATGCCTCAAATTTTATTTTTTCCCCAGAGAATTGAATGTGAACTTCCCCATTTTATCAATGGGGAGAGAAGATCCAGCATCAAAGGCACAGTCAGAAAAAAGTACTGTGCTTCTCAGCAAGCATTTATTTTTATTAGATTTGCAACTGTACTCCTCTATTAGATGCATATCCAGGCTTTCATTCATAAGGCATACATAATACTACTACATCCCCCCCCCCACCAAATACAGTAGTCCTTAACGTATAACCACAATTGGGATTGGAATTTTATTTGCTAAGTGATGTGGTTGTTAAGCAAACCATCACTTATTGTAACTGAATCCAATATCGCAATCATTTTACTGCAGTTATTAAGATAATCAGGATATGGGTCTGGATGGGCAGGAACAGGCTCAGACTCAACCCTCCAAGACCGAGTGGCTGTGGTTACCGGCATCTTGTGATTTAGTATCCCCATCACTTCTGATGGGGAGGGAGGTGCTTATTCCCTCTGAAAGGGTTCGTAATCTTGGCGTCCTCCTTGACTCACGGCTGTCCTTGGTGGATCATCTGATGGCCGTGACAAGAGGGGCTTTTGTACAGGTTTGCTTGGTGCGCCAGTTACGCCCTTTCCTAGACAGGGATGCCCTTTGTACAGTCACTCATGCTCTCATCATTTCTTGGTTGGATTACTGCAATGTCCTCTACATGGGGCTGTCCTTGGGGTGCACCCGGAGGGTCCAGCTGGCCCAGAATGCGGCCGTGCGGGTTGTTACAGGAGGTTCCTGCTACTTCCGTGTAACACCTCTCCTGCGCGAGCTGCACTGGCTGCCGGTGGCCCTTTGGATCCGCTTCAAGGTGCTGGTACTTACCTATAAAGCCCTTCATGGCATGGGCTCGGGGTACTTGTAGGACCACCTCCTACCGGCCTCCCACTGCCCAGTGCGCTCACATAGGACTGCCCTCCTCCGGGTGCCGTCGGCCAGACAATGTCGGCCGGTGGCCCCCAGGATAAGGGCATTCTCTGTGGCCGCACCGACCCTCTGGAATGGGTTACCCACCGGGCTCCGGACGGCCCCTGACCTCCGCACTTTCTGCGCTGAGCTGAAGACATGGCTTTTTCAGCAAATTCCCTAATCTGCCGCAGGGTTTTTAATTGTTTGGGGATTTTAAATTGAGTAATTTTTAATATTTGGACTGTTGTGTAATTTTTATTTTGTGAGCCGCCCAGAGTCCTACGGGAAAAGGCAGCATATAAATTTGAAAAATAAATAAATAAATAAATAAATAAATAAATAAATAAATAAATGCTGTGTTTTTATGTCTAAAGTGAGAACGAGATGCTGATCTCCCTGGACCATTACTTTAGTTAGCACATCTTATATATTGAGTTGTAGCCTAACCCTGCCAAGAAAAACTTTTCAAAGTGACAGAACAATGTTCACAACATGGAATAAGAGGAAACACAAATCAGGTCTGCTATTTCCTTATAATTTGATTTCTTTCAGTTTCTATGAATATTCTTTCTGTCCATTATTTCTGCTAAAAATGATAAAATATAATTTTGAAGGGGAAAAAATCTAATTGAAAAGACCCATTTAGTCAGAATGTTAGGTGTGTTCATAACCTTTGAATGGCAGAAACCTTCTTTCTGTCCTTCATTATATATGTCCTCCAGAGCCTCATTAGATTGCTGGAAAACCTTTGAAAAGCTGGAGGCCTTTCCTCCCTCCTTTGCTATTATCCTATCATTAACAAGTAGAATTTCCAACTCTAATTTCTAAAGCTATAAGTACAACAGCATTTAAAACAAAAACCAACAGCAACACAGCCTAGTTTCCATAACAATGCGGAAACTGAATTCATTCATGCTATAACAAGTTCAGCAGCTAAGGATTTTTTTTTAAAATTAAATCTATAGAATTATTACTCTGCACTTTAAATTCCAATTATTTTGTGACTCTCAAATTATTCTTCCTGATACTATACTGAATGCCAAAAATATAAATGTGGCAAAACAAACTAATAGGAACTATTAGAAACTAATAGAATAGAAACTAATAGTCTAACTTGGACACAATGTGGAATACTGAAAATTTAATTAAGTGTTTAAGATTTTTTGGAAGTGAGAAAATAACAGCAGCTTTCCAATAAACACATGGATTTTCGTCTTGGAAAAATGGAAGTTTTTTTTCTAACATGACAATAGCAGGTTCATTGACAAATTGGTGGCGCTTTATATGAGATACTGAGAATAACTGAATTGGAAAGTTTTATGGTACTCTCTGGGAACATAAATTTTCTTTATGCTCATGCTTTGACAAGATCCTTACATCAATAATATGAGAATAGATCCACTCTATAACCTGTTCTGACCTCGATTAACACATACAACATTATGAAAAAAATTAAATCTTTGGATTTATAAGTAATCCAATTATAAGATTTGTAATTATAAGATTCTTTTATAATTATAAGATTTTTTTTCTGAAGAATTATATACAACAATCTTTTACAATCGCATAAGAGTTGAACTTTAAACAAGGAAACATAATTGCCACAACAGGCCCAAAGACAAATTTAAATGTTCAGGAATAGTTTTCAAAATTTTCAGGAATACCATACAAATATATTAGATGTCAAATTTTTCATGAATATTTAATAGAATTATAGCTTGTTATGATTTTATATGTACACTCCTGATCTTTTCTATTGCAAGTTAATTTATAGAGTTAATTCCTTCTAATCATTCTTAATATATCACTGATGAAATGGAACATATCTTATGTCAAATATTTCACAATATTTAAAGGCATTTCTTTCAAACCTCAATCAATCATGTGATAACTAGTTCATTAATTTTAAAAAAGAATTCAATATACACCTTTTATATGGACTATATTCCAAAAAGCCTTCTTTTGTAAATGTGTGGTTAAATCTGACTCTCCTGGGTTTCAGTCTTATAGAATTTCATGGAATATTTTATAAAATATGTAAAAATATTGCACTAAAAGACAGTTGGAGATGTATTCAAGGACAGATCAAATTATGATGAGCGAATTCTATATTATATCACTGATGAAGACATGATGATGAAATGTATGATTTATACATAAGAGAGCGCTATAAAATATTCTATGCTGAATGCACTTATTTGTTACCAGTTTGTGGTCTGTCACATTGAATATAAGAATGAAATATTCCCAGTGGATTTTCTCAGATGACAGTCCACCTCCAAATTTTATTATTATACAAGTGTTAAATCCAATTGCGTGTATATTTGAGTGTATTTACATGATGCTTTTTAAAATAAACTTTTTTTCAAAGGTTTCGTTTTTGACACTTTTATTTTAATCAAAAGAGGGTAATAAATGCTTGTATTTTGCCAACTATTCAGAATAAATGGTCTACATTCATTTATTAATTAAATTTATAGGCTACCCATCTCACTATCAGGCAACTCTGGGCAGTTTACAATGTTATAAATAATGACATAAAACAATTAAAAGTCAAAAGATTTAAACATTGGGCAGCAAAGTTAAAACATTAAGTTAACAATAAAATGAATTAAAAAAAATCAATACATACATGGAATGAAAGTGAAATCTACTAGTCTAATAGCCACCTCTAAAATGAGACCCCTCCCAATTGCTCCTTCCATAAATAAAAGGAATATGCTTTTGTTTGACTGTTGAAACTATAATTGGATAAGAAATCCTAATCTCTAACCACATATAATTTATGTTCTTAAACAAAAGAATGCGTTTTTAAATCAGTAATCCTCTTTCATTCTAGCCATTCCTTAATTTTAGCTACATATATCCATATATAATTTAATTTTTTTAATGAGCAACATTTGCACTATTTTTACAATAAAAGCTTGTTTATTAACCCATATAACCACTGTTGGCTACTGATTTAATGGACAGCCTGTTGCTCTTTCAATTATATTTCATACATCTTGCCAATATCTTGTAATTCTAGGGCACTCCCACCAATCATGGCAAGGAATCCTTTTTTCTGAGTGTTAATTATGCTGGAAGAGTCTGGCTACCAATTAAGATCTCTTGGGAATCTGAGAAAGGAACCTTATAATTTCCTTTACCACAATTGAAAAGGTCAAAAAGAATTTGAGGCAATAAATTAACTCAATTTAAAGAACCCATTTATTGTATGGGCAAAAGGAAAAACTGATTCATTATCAAGGCCATTGTATACCAAAGACTAAGGCTAACAAGCTTTCTTACCTTTGGAGTTTATTGCACCAGCTGCAGTTGAAACCAATCTGAGACATGATACAAGGTTCACAGCTGTTAAACTGAAGACAAGCTGTAAAAACATAATAACATAAAAATAAAATATACATGCACACAGGGGCAAGCAAATAAAAATAAACCCTTCATCTTAATAAGATTTCCTACAATCGATTTTTTCAGGAATTTATTCTCTTCAAAATAAATGAAAAATGGTTGGAGGACAATAATTTGACATCTCCAGATCACACTATGGAGATATATAATTCTATTACAGACTGAGCTTGTACAATTAGTTTTGATCCTATTTGTAATTGTAATGCATTTCTATGTTTTGTATATGTCCTAAATCTGCCTTTCTGCTATAAAGTTTTCTTATTTGTTCCTTTATGTCTGTTTACCTTTAATAGCATAATGTTTTTGACAGATGGACATAACAAAAAAAGGTTAAGAAACTGTGAAAGAGCAATAACTGGATTAAAAATAGTTCAGCTGCTGCGACTGGTTTCTTCAAATGGGGTATGGGCAATTTCCATCCCAAGCCTGTCTTTTTCTTTTATTGTTTACATTTTCTCACATCAGTATCCATAGTGGATAGCCAACCTCTGACAGACATCACTTGATCTGCTAGGTGCATCTACAATTTTTCACTGTTTTAAGTGAATAAATAAACAAACAAATTCCACAGAGTTCTTTAGAATAGAATAGAATAGAATAGAATAGAATAGAATAGAATAGAGTTGAAGGGGACCTTGGAGGTCTTCTAGTCCAACCCCCTGCCTAGGCAGAAATCCTACACCACTTCAGACAAATGGTTATCCAACATCTTCTTAAAAACTTTCAGTGTTGGAGCATTCACAATTTCTTTGATACAACATTGTTTTGATCAATGTAAGAAATTTGAGATAGCAACGTGTCATATATAGATATATATCAATGATATGAGCAGGGCGAGCAGATGGCTATTAGTACCTTAAGACACAGAGTAACAAATATAGAACTTATGGTAATCAATCAAGTAAATAAACCTATAATAAAGCTGTGAAAAAAGCAACAAGACAGTGGAAATATCAAGAAAATAGATGGGAGAAGGGATCAGCCAGATAGTATCCATAGTTCTATATTACAAATTACACGTTAACAATTGTGAGGACCAGCTTTCTAATATAATGCTAAAGGCGCTGACATCTGAACCAAGTTTGCCTCTCTTTTATGTATATAATTCTTTTAAAGCCCCACAGTTTATCTCAAAGCGAATAGCATTTCATGCTATTCCATGAAATGTAATTCCATGGCTACTTCTCATCTAAGAAGCATGGGTATTTGCAAGCTCCTGCTGCTTTTGTCAAAATGATGAAAACAATATCATACTGTTAGCTATGACCCTTTTGGTTGGTATATATTGTCACAACACATGTACAAAAGAGGCAAGGCTTGCATTGTGACATTGATTTTATCACTGTTTGCCTCCTTCCCACCCGTGAACATAGCTGCTAAGAACCAAATAAATAAAAATATCCAGGAAAGTTAGTGGACCAGGTGTTTAAGAAGCTTCAATTGCTATCACCATAATAAAGGAGGCCCAATGATGTAAATGTAGCTTACTCTGTGAGACAAGTGAAATCTATCCAAGATTAAATAGTGAGGTCTATCATAGTTTGTATGAATACAAAAGTTTGTATTATGAACTTTTGCACATCTAATTTAAGACCAGCGCTATATTGATTACTCCATGTCACTTCCAAACAAAACCAGGCAAAGTAAGATCTCTAGAGAAGGTATATTATGGCTGCTTCCAACCTGGTATACTTGTAAAAAGTAGCGAAAATTAAAGTTCATATTCCTGTAGTCAGCACAGGTAATGTATCTTGAGAGTGCCACATCACAGAAAGATGGTACACAAACAAAATCAACTTATATGCTATTACTTCAATTCATTATAATTGGATTCACCATAATGCCTTATGTTTAGATTTCACTTAGCATGTTTTCTGAACCTATTCACAGTGGTATGTGACCCATGGATTAATATGATGTGTAAATCAGCCTAATGTGGCTTAGTTAACAGTAATATTTTAGAAGACTGTGCTTTATCAAAAAATGTGAACCTACTAAATTTTCAAGCAAACATATACACACAAACACACATATGGAAGAAAAAAAAAACAAATGACTGAGAGATGACTAGATAAGAAATAGATGTATGTTATAACAATAATGTAAATACACAAAGATTAGAACCTATATAATACTGACATTTTGTTAAAAACATGGGATTTATCAAGGCAAAGTGGAAGTATGAAAGTGACATTAGTACATTATATCCACCACTATATTACTGTGCTGGCTTAAATATCAACAGATACTTATACTCTATTGGCCAACTATCTCCTTTTTTATGCATTACAAATGCTATAAAAGAAAAGTGGCATGTTTTAAACGCATCCTTTAAAAATGTAATGTTTTATCTGCTTGTTAAATATAACTTACTGGGCAGAGGAATCATCTCAACAGCTGACAGACTGGTGACCTTTGACATCTGAAGCTCCACTTTGTGATATTCGTAGATTGTTCTTCTACGAACATCTGTAAGAAAAGATAAATTAGCATTGAGTTATGTTGCTTAAACATTATTGTCATAAAATATTTCTATTGTTAAAATTATATTGTATATAATTTTGATTGCAATAGCAGCAAGACACAGGGAAGATTGGAAAAAAAGCCATTAAACAGTTTTCAGTATCAATTATAACTGGAGAAGGTAGTCCAAACTACAAACTATAAAATTGTAGCCATCATGTTAGCAATACAAGATAACCTAGGATTAGTATCACCCAAGAAGTGAATTTTGTTCTGTTAAATTACTATTCATATTGGGAATAGCGAAGTGCTTCAAGATTGAGAGGATTATCTGGTGACATCACTGTTGCCCAGTGTTCAGTTGGGATTCATTTTTGCCCGCATTAGGTTGCCGACTGAAATGGTACCTATCTATTTACTCGTGATCCCCTGCTTTCAAACTGCTGAGTCAGAAAGAGCTGGAAGAAGTGACGGGAGCTCATCTCATCACCTGACAACCAAGTTTTGAATGCAAGTCTGCCAATAATCAGCCTAGCATTCTTATCATGTGAGCCACTGCACTCCACTTCTGCTAAACTAAATCAGGGGTTTTTCTTAAATAACTTTTTTCATCTTGCTTTTGAGCAAATTTAGAATTCAACAGCTTAAAGGTAACCAGCATAATGTCTGTTAATCTTTCCTAATTTCTTAGCACTGGAAGGTTCAGTCAAGGTGACAATGCCATCACTTTTATTTACATGCTCATTTATTTCCTTAAAAAAAAACAAGCACACACCAAATGACTGACTTCTTTTGTCTGGGTCTTTGGCTTCTGGTACTGGTAAGGGTTCATTCAAAATATAATATTTCACTGCCTCAACTTACAAATGCACTAAATGGACAAGACACTGCTGGAAAAAATGTCTTCCTTTTTTGGCAATGAACCTGTTCAAATCGAGCACAAAGTAACACAATTTCAGTCCATTTGTTCTAGGTCTATGCTTTTGGAGCTCTAAACAAGATAGAATCCTGAGATTTTTTGTTATATTTTCAGACTTTCCTGGTAATAGTTATGTTTTCATATAACAGGCTGTTAACCTCAAATTAAACAGAGATGGGAGCAAAGAGAATGCTTTCACCAGTGGGCTTTTAAGCTAACCCTAAACTAAACAGCAAACTCAATTATCTGGAAGGAAGTGTGCTAATCTATAATGGGAAATTAAAAAGAATAATATGTGAGTTTGTCCCTAAGTCACATTCTGCAAATACATGCCTATGAAACAAGTTAAAAACCAGAGCTTTTGTCTGCTATTCTCTGGATGTAGAAGCTTTTGTGCATGTAGAACAGGAATTTTTATTTTTTTTTAAATAAAAAACCCACTAATGTCTGTTTGCCCGAACACAATGCCCTATCTTCCTTCCAAACACTATTAGTGAGGATCACTATTCATTATTTTATAATATTTCATTATGTACAAATAGTCCTTGTACCAGACCACAATTGGAACTGGCAATTTTGATTCTAAGTGATGCACTTTTTAAAGGAGATATCAAATATCCACAGCAGACTTATGCCCTCAATTCAAGTAATTGTTAAAGAATCGTTTATGGTCATTAAATGAGATATCATGTTACAGTGACTTGAAATTTTACTGCTGGCTTCCCTGTTGACTCTACTTGTTGGAAATTGGCTATGATACATGCAAATGACACATGACTGTGGGACACAAACAACAGTTGTAAAAGCCCACCAGTTAAGAAGTGTCTGAATCTTTATTATTTAACTATGGGGAAACTGCAGTGGTTTCAAGTGCAAGAGCTGTTGGTGAAGTTACTTTTTCAGCACCATCGTAATTTTGAATGGTTCAATTTCAGAGCAGTAAACATCATTTCACCCACATTCAACCCACACGCTAAGTTCTCTGAGAGCATTATTTTGAATTCAGGGTCTTCCTAGTTCTACTTTCATATTTTTAGGACCAGATCAGAAATATTCTCCTGTAACTTCTATTCTGGAAATTGATCCAGATTTAAAGTCAGATAGAGATTGATCTATCTGCACCAAAAGAGGCCATTTCAAGTGAAAATGACACAGAATTGATATAGTAGTGACATAGTATTTGCATTATTTTATGGTACTATTCATAAGTCAGTATATCAATAAACAACTGACATGAAAATCTACATTCTAGAATTTTCTTTTAGTTAATAAAATCCAACGTGGTTGTCATTTACACATGTTGGTAGAAATGGCAGCAAGATTAGGATAAAACTAAATCACTATTTACTTCTAGTTGCTTTACACTGAGAAACCTAGAGCTTTTGTCAATGTTTCTTGCCAATACACCCTGTTCAATAGTCATTTGTCATTCTGATATAAATTATAATACTATATCATCCCAACCATCACCTCCCTATCTACTTTACCAATTGGGTAGTTAAAACATTTTATTCAAAGTAGTTGAAGAAATAAATGTTCTTTTGGTCAGCAGTCATTTCTACTGGTCTGCCTTCTTTTGAGTGAAGATATGAAAAGACCACTACTTGTGAAGAAATCTCCTATGTGTGAATAGAGTATGTATTAATCCAAATATAGAGAAGCTGATAAGCATATTCATTACCATGAGTTATGATGCAAAAGGCTTTAACTTTGTGGTACATAAAAAGATCATTCTCATAATAAAGTTTATATATATTTTTGCACAAATTGAAATTTCTAATAGGTATGAGTGTTTTAACTATGCTCTTGAGAATATGTGGCATCCCTCTATAAAGTACTACTTATAACAAAAGCAAAGCAAGACAATTTCTGCAAGTGCTCTACATATCTCATAGACTGATATAAAATGGCAAGATTCATGGGATAACTAGGATGCTTCTTCCCAAATAAACACATACAGATAGATATTGCACCCTAAGAGCTCATCATAGCAGTTAGAGTACATTATCAGGCTTCCCAATTCCACGTTCTCTGGCAGCTTGCATTTTGCTTGATTGACACCTTGCCAGTAAACATTATTGCTCCATAACCCAGAACAATAATTGTTTAGTTGAGTGATTAGTGGCTGCCTGGGTCTATGTGCTACTGAAGAAAATGACTGTTTATTGGGATAAGCATGCTATGGAACAACCTTCCCAGAGTGGCTGCATTCCCTCATAGCTGTCCAATTAGGTTGTTTGAATGAGAGCCTGGCAATCATGGAGGAAGTGCCAAAAAATACAGATGGTCAGGTAGAAACCTTTCTCAATCTAAAGGATGAAGTGGCAAGGCAGGGAAGAAATATTCTCAGTACAGATAGTGACATTAGAACAAATGATTCTGGCTCTCAAGGCTGGGGGGAAAAATCAGGTCCATTTAATTGGAAGCAAGGGAGAAAATACATACAATTTAAATCTTGAAGCAAGCAAGCAGGCAGCCAGACAGCCAGTCATATATGTGTGGCTTAACTTCTAAGACATGCTATAGGCAGATTTTGTCTGTATCAACAATTGCTTTCTTGTTTGCAATAAAACCATCTATCAACACATATTAAGTCTGTAAAACCTCTGCTATTAGCTGGCTACTGAATACAGGGTTGAGTTTTTGAAAGTCTAGATTTATTGCTATCCCTATTGTGTATACAAAAAACTGTACAACACTGACTACTGCTGTATGGAAATAATAAAGGATATTTTGTAGATGCTTGCAGAGAGAGTGGAATTGATGGATATTTGCACAGCTTGCACAGAGTACAACACCCAATCTACTATTACTTTCTTATATTGAGGACATCTGTATAACACAACACTAAGACAAGAACCATGTTTACTGTGATGATCATTGGGTGCCTGCTTTACAACAAAGAGGAACCTTGAACAGCAAAGCTTTATAGAAATTGAGAGCTGCAAGGCAGGAAATTCTGTTTGGTTTGCTGTTTGGGGGAAACTAAGTTGGTCCTTGTCTGTATATGTGAGGTGAGTTTATTAGTTAGGCAAGATGGAAAGTTAAGGAGGGTTCATTGTTCTCATGTCTCTCTATGGTCTGTCTTTTAAACTAGGTAATAAAAAAAAAAGATACCTTGGATGAATTTAAAATGTGACAGCATAATTGTAGCACAAACACATAACCCAAAGTTCATCTTTTAAGTCAACATAATGTCAACATAATTGAACACCGTTATTATTAGGTACTAATCCATAGTTCTACGTAAAAGGAGAACTGGGGAAAAAGACTAAGTTCAAATTGTATTATTTAATATAAAACAGAACAGTGATTCCAAAGATGATATAATTCAAGTATTTTTAACCTATAGAGAAATACATTTCTTAATGATAAGAGTCTGGGCCTCATTAATATTTAGGACAACATGAAGGAATTTCAGGGCTGAAATCTGCTTTACTTCAGATTGTGAAGTAAAAAACCTCCAAACCAATCAGAAGGCTAAAATTCCATACTTTTGTTAAGAAAATTATATGGACATGTCCCTGGGGACACAGGAGTTGAGCTCAACTTAAATGAGTCTTTAAGTATTAAAAGTAAAATAAAGGATACTTGTACAGTTTATTCTAAAGGTATGAAGGAAAAAAGCTTGTATCTATAAATAATCATGATTGTATAAACACATGGATATTTAATACCTCTAAGCCAGGGGTGTCACTTAAGGCTTGTAGGCAGTGGTGGGATTCAGCCAGTTCGGACCACTTCGGGAGAACTGGTTGTTAACTTTCTGAGCAGTTTGGTAAACTGGTTGTTGGAAGAAATCATTAGGACAGAGATCGGTTGTTAAATTATTTGAATCCCACCACTGCTTGTGGGCCAGATTCAGCCTGCGGGGTGCTTAGATCTGGCCCATGGGGCTGGCTGGAAATATCAAAGGACTGGGCTTCCCTGTGGCCTGTTTTTGGTCGGCAGAGTGCTGCAGGAGGCAGCACCTTCTTCACCTTCTCTTTAGCAGCATCTGCCAGCTAGAACTAGGTACCCTACAAGATCTGGATGGCTGTTGTTCAGAAGAGCCAAAAACATCTGGCTTTTCACCCAGGTTTTCACCCAGGTCTTTGATGAGAGAGAGTGAGTCCCTGAGTTTGTCATCTTTTATCTTAATCTTTTATCTGTAATTGATTTGTGATTTTTTTTATTGTTGTGAACCCAGGGTCACTGAGAATTGGGTGGTATATTAATTTTGTAAATTATATTAAATCTTCCTCTAGGGCTGTATCAGACAAAGATTGATAGATTGTTGGACAGACAATTTTTAGAGACATCTGGAGAAATTGTCAGTTCATTTATGCTCTGCTCTTATACAAAAGAGTCAAGCCCCACAGCAGCTGGGGACTCTACATGTCTTTAATCTCTACATTATGGAAGTGAGACTATTTGTGCCAGAAAATAAATCTCTCTTTAGCTGGAATAGCTGTTTTTAATGCAAAGGGGAAAAAATGCATCTTGAGCCTCTGGCCACGCTCACCATGACCACCACCCCCAGCCACGCCCCACACCTCGTCCATCAGAAGTCAAACACAACCTGGACGCGGCCCTCAATAAAATCAAGTTTGACACCCCTGCTCTAAGCTCTCTTAGTGGAATAAAGAAATTGCATATATGAAATCCTACAAGTAGAAATTCCATTTTGTGAAATTTTCTTCAAAATAAAGGATTATTACAGTGATAATCTCTCATCCAAATTCTTTGTTGTTCCTTCAGTAGAAATAACCAAAATCTTGTAAAATTAGCTGCTTTGAACTACAAAGAATCTTGAGGGCCTTTTTGAATAGCTGACAAAAAGTGATGTAAGAGTCACTGTGGGAGTTATAAGCCAAGTAAAATTATATTTAAATTAGTGATCTGAACCTAATAAAACTTCTAGTTTTGTTTAGTTAAAACATTTTTAATCTCCTTTAATCTATTTTGCTCTCACAATAAATCATATTGGCTCATGCTACATTTAGTAACAACATACTGGGAATTTGCTGGATCCTGTGGAGAACCACAAATGCATCTGACAACCCCACTTTAACAGGATGATTAGTTGAACTTATCTGGGTCACTGAGACAGGAATCTGCCAAAAAAGGGAACAAAGAGATAGTTTTTCAAACAATTTATTTTTGATAGTAGCTATTTATCACTAACATGTCATATTATAAAATGTAATCAAATGCTGAACAAGGTTCAGATATGGTAACCCGATCGTCCTTACCTTTATGTAGAGTAAAAGGAAAGGAGGGGAGGAACATTTTCAGTGTTGCAAACTTCTGTTAATGTAACCTTACAACAAAACCTTATCTTGTATTCATACTGTGCTTCTCTGGATTACTGGAAGGGCTAGTATCAGGCTCCTTTTCCTGTCTCTCAAAATCATTTCCATATACCATTACATCTCATTTTACTTGCTACTGGGGGGTCTGCTTTTATAAGAAATGGAGTTTAGTTATAACTGCTCTCCACAGATTTTCTATACAACATTAAACTGACCTTTCAAAAAAGGGTACATTCATTTGGGGATGAGAAAACAATATGCAATAAACAAGTACACAATGAGATGTGACTTGAAGCTAATATTTAAAGTTTTGGCAGACCTGCTCACCAATTTCATGTAACTACTTCAGCAATTATGTTTTCAAGTCTTTCATCCATAGACTTCATTGTCACATCACTCTAGGAACAAAGCTCACAAAAACTTGAAATACAATAAATGTCTTTCTCAAACAATTTAATTTGCTTATTGTGTAAACAACTATTTTTTTCCTAATGTTGTTTTGTGAGCACTAATAGAATTCTGCACAAAGACACAGAGAAAATAAATATAATGGGAAACAAATTCCATTTCTATTACTGAATATTTTATAGGAATTCTCTTAATTCTGGGGAACAGCAAAACAATAACTCATTTGGACTGTCTAAATTAAGGAGGACATTGGTCTCTTTATTTTTAAAAATCCAAGGAAAGGCTGGTATTTGAAGTAATTTGCTTTTCAAGATTCTTTTAATTTTGGAATAAACAGTAGAAAGGTTTCTAAGCTATGCTAATGTTCAGCAATACAACTGTTTCTGTTTCTTTCCTAATCAAATTAATAATAGTCCAGTACTAAATTTGTTCCCTACATTTTTCTAAATTTGCTTCATGTGAAAACTTTAGCTGCTCTTTAAGGCAGCAATGAGACCCTCAACCCTGTAAAAGCTATATGCTATATTTGCAAAATGTGCTGGAGGAAAGGTTGGGGTTGGGGAAATCGGATGGTAAAAGGACAAAACAGAAACTAGACTTGAAGCAGAGAGCAAAGAATCTTTCTTGTTTTATGAGATGGACACAAAACAAAAAATTGCAATGTTGACTTGTAAGATTAAATGGACAATTTCACTATTATTTTATATAATCTTAACTAACATTACATAATATTACAGAAGAAATACATTCACATATCCTACAACCTATTTATAATTATTAGGACCATGCTAATTTACTTGGATTTCAGTAAGGCATTTGATAAAGTAGACCATAACCTACTACTAGATAAAATAGAAAAATGTGGGTTAGCATCACCACCAGATGGATTTGTAACTGGCTGACCAACCACACTCAACGTGTAGTCCTCAATGGAACTGCATCTACATGGAAGAAGTATGCAATGGGGTGCCCCAAGGCTCGGTTTTAGGTCCAGCACTCTTCAACATCTTCATCAAAGATTTGGACAAGGGGATAGATGGGGAACTCATGAAATTTGCAGACACCAAGCTAGCAGGAAAAGCCAACACTCCGGAAGATGGGCTTAAGATACAGAAGGATCTTGACAGACTTGAACATTGGATGCTATCTAGCAAAATGAAATTCAATGGTGAAAATAGTAAGGTTCTACATTTAGGCATGAAAAACAAAATGCACAAGTACAGTATATGTGGTACCTCACTCAATAGTAGTAACTGTGAGAGGATCTTTGGAGTCCTACTGGACAACCATTTAAATATGAGCCAGCAGTGTGCAGCAGCTGCCAAAAAAATCAAAGGTTGCATATACGGAGGGATAGAGTCAAGATCACGTGAAGTGTTAATACCACTTAATAATGACTTGGTAAGGCCACACCTGGAATACTGCATACAGTTTTGGTTGCAACGATGTAAAAAAGACGTAGAGATTCTAGAAAGAGTGCGGAAAAGAGCAACAAAGATGATTAGGGACCTGGAGGCTAAAACATGAAGAACGGTTGCAGGAACTGGACATGTCTAGTTTAATGAAAAGAAGGACTAGGGGGAGACATGATAGCAGTGTTCCAATATCTCGAGGCTGCCACAAAGAAGAGAGAGTCAAGCTATTCTCCAAAACACCCGAGGGCAGGACAAGAAGCAATGGGTGAAAACTAATCAAGGAAAGAAGCAACCTAGAACTAAGGAGAAATTTCCTGATAATTAGAACAATTAATCAGTGGAACAACTTGCCTCCAGAAGTTGTGAATGCTCCAACAATGGAAGTTTTTAAGAAGATATTGGATAACCATTTGTCTGAAGTGGTATAGGGTTTCCTGCCTAAGCAGGGGGTTGGACAAGAAGATCTCCAAGGTCCCTTCCAACTCTGTTATTCTGTTATCTGCTTTGGGCTCATATGTCCCTCCTTCCCACATGAGAGATGGAGAATGAAAGCTTCTCCATGAAAGCTTCTAGTCATAGTTGGTTCCAAACCAGGGTGAACCTAAATGTCACTTGACCATTAAATTGAACAGGTGACTAGGATGAAATTGCTATGAGTTTCTTTAAGAGGAGGAACTATTTTTCAACTATTTTAAAGGGTAGGATTGCCTTAGATGCATGGTTTAAAAAAATAAATGAGAAATGGTCTAGCCCTAAGTCTTATTTAGGGATTTAACTACCAAGGAAGCTGCACACTGCTGGACAGATGAGTCTTCCACTAAAAAAGAAAACCAGGACATTCATAAATAGTTTTGGCTATCTTGTGTTTTAATAAATGTAGAATGTCAACTCCCAAGCAAAGTTTCTTCCATCAAACTGAACTAAAAGGAAAAAATGAAAAATATTTCTATTTGACACTATATACTGAGTTGTTTATGTGGGAACTGATTTATATTAATAAGAGTCATCAAATCAGGATATCAAACTATTGTTTTAGTCCAATTTTTTATTCCTATTGATATCTCTACTGACTTCATTTGTTTATTTTTGTCTTCCAGGATCACTGAAAAAAGCTAATATTGTTATAATATCCAGATAGTGGAAGTGAATACCAAAGATGTTTTCCTTAACATAAAAATGCCACATGTTTACCTTTTAAAGCTTTTTATTGACTATCATCAGATTCATTTAACCCATTTGCAACAACAACAACAACAACAAAAGGATGAGACCTGAAGCTCATTGTAGCACATTAATATTTCTGATGCTTGTGATGATATTTGTTTACATCCATTTTATTTTCCTTATCAGGAATAAAATCTTTAGTTGTTTCATCTAGTAGAAATTTCCCTGAGCAGAACAAGGTATGTTCTAACAAATGAGGTGAGATAATGCAATGTGTTTCAAGAGTGAGCTGCCAAATGGTAAGTCATCAGAGCTGGATGGATCCAATAGTGGGTTCCACTTATCTTCACTACTGGTACGGAACCAGAAGTGTACGTGCTTTGTGCACTTATGGCGTTTCTGCCCATGCACAGAGCATCCGTGATGACATCCGAGCAGGTAGGTGGAGCCTCCTGCTGCTACCACTACCGGTTTTCCCGAACCAGTAGAAACCCACCACTGGATGGATCAAGGCAGAAAAAAAAGTGTGGAACATTCTAATGTAATGTTACATTATCACTCAACAATTCCACATTTTCTAATTTTTTAACAAAACATTTGCTGTTTGATGCTTCTGAATAGAAGATTAGGCAGTAGAGCCAGACCAAACATGCGCATCAAGACTCATAACCAATTGCTACTTTTGACCTGTGATGTCTAAAGTCAATAGTGGAGAACATGATGTTTTCTGGATGTTGATCATCTACAGCTCCCAGCATAATTTACAAATGGGAATGCTCGTTAGGAATGCTGGTACTTGTTATTCAGCAACAACTGGATGAGCACAGGTCATCTATCTCTGTTATGCCTAATATACAAAAGATACTTTACTTTCCATTACATCTCATAGCACCTTCTTCTTCATACAGAAGCCAAGAGTTTCTATTTTATAATAGTATCCATCTGTAAATCTTAGATCCTAGAAACTAAAAGACTAATGATCTAGAATTTTTATCATGTGAAAATTTTTATTGATCTGGTATTGATATTTATTACATGTTAATACCCTGAAGTGAAATAATTTGTTGCCTGATCAGACTCACCTCTTTATAGCCAAAAATTATACGGCCATCATTGAGAAGAGTTGCCTGAAAAGTGAAACTGCCCAGATTGTAGTTATCTTGTAGATGTACATGATCCCATTGAACAACTAGAGCAGTGCCTGTCAAGATGGGAAAAGGAGACAGAAATACTGGAGGAAAGTATATGATTGCAATTTAATAAATTAATTCGACTTCCTTGACTTTGATATCTTACAAAATTACCTGAATATCTAGAATCTGTTGTCAATGTAAACTATAGCATAGCATAGCCTAGATTGGGGAAGACTGTAATCATATTACTGTAACTCAAGTAGTAATTATCTTCTAAAACAGACATTATACAGGAAGTGTAATTATACCCTTATGAAAGGGTGAACAAAATAAAGAGATGTAAAATTCAGGATTATTGCAACATTTTCTAAATAATTTATGAAAAAAAATCAATTCCCAGTGACCTTCTAGAAGTACTGGAAATAACATTTTTTTGTATAATAAAAGATACAATGCAGTTTAAGGGCACTGTCAATTGAATGACTAATATGCAAAAGAGCTATAGTACTATACTAACAAATACTTCTCTGGAAATAAGCTCAAAGAACATGGAATTTGTACATTCAATATAAGAAACAATTGCATTCTAATTAGATTCGTATATCACATTTTCTTTAGGCTCCCACTAAATATACTGCATATATATTTCATAGCTCCCAAGGATCTACAGAATTCTTTTTCATGCAGAGACAATATAGCTGTCTTGCAAAAGGAGCCCTGGTGGCGCAGTGATTAGAATGGAGTATTGCAGGGAAACTTTGCATATAGAGTTTGATCCTGGTGAGCTTCAGACTACCATCCTTACGATATCGGTAAAGTGAGGATTCAGTTGTTGAAGGCAATTTGTTGACACCCAAAGAGTGTTGTTGCAGCATCTAGGTCTAAGTCCTCTTGTTATTTGAGGCTCTAATTCTCCAGAAATATTTAATGCAAGACATGGTGAAACTGTAGGCTTCATGTATCTACTGAGTCTAATACCAATTATATATTTATCCAATTGTCAATGTATTTTTCAAATTTCTTTAAACAGAATTCACAATAATATTTCTGTATCTATTAGCATTACATTTCATAAATGCTATGGCAATTAAATGGATTTATTCCATTTTTAAATAAATATTTATTCCTCAATGGAATAGTTTGGATTAGATATACTAACTATATGGAGCTATGTCACTAACGGTCTGTAAGTCCTAGAAATGTAAGATACCGAAGGTATCAAACTCTGTTCTGACTCATGCTTCCCTAGAAGTGCCCAGTTTGATGGTAAAAGACAGCTGATGTTGAAAATCAAATAGGCTGTACCTGGGTAATACCTGGAGGAGAGATTACAGGAAATCTCAGATTGGTTGGCTTGGCTGGAAAATCAGTAAAAAAAAAAATATCTGGAAGAAGATAATGGTACAACAAAGTAACATGGGGGCATCTATTAAGTCCAGAAACAGAGCTCAGTTTTCATTCAGCCAAATGTAATTTGCTTGGATTACTTCTGAAATCCTGTCTCTTGGTCTGATTATAAAAATTGGAATCCGATAAAAATATGAAGTGCTACAAGATCCTTGTTTCTGGTGTGCATGAAACTCTGTGAGAATGACAGGTATTTATTTCTTCAAGAAACCAGAAATATTATGTAGAGTGCAGTATATATGTAGATATAAATGGATGTTGACTTCAGTTTTTAATTATTTTAGGGTTGATTGTTTTGTGATTTTATCTGTGGTTGCAAGTTTTGCAACTAATATTTTTAATTAATTCATTGATTTAATTTCTAGCTTGCTCAATTTCAAAATAACTCTGTGGCTTCACAAGTTAAAATAATCAATATTATATAAAACCATAACCAATTTTTCAAGGGAAAACATAATCTGCAACCACACTGAATGTGTGTCCTCCCAGTACTTTAACCTAAGATCTGCAGAACAAAAAGAAACATTTTTAAAGATTACTTAAAGGTGGGCAAGGTATATACAAGTATGCAACTATAGAATATTTATATAAACTATTTTATATACATGTACTATATACTGTATGTGTACTGTGAATGTTTTATTGTTATGATTGTAATTCGCAAGGAATATCTTTGCTGCAGTGATCAAAGACTAACAAAATTATTTTGTTCTCTCCAAGCTAAAAGGTAGATAAACCTATTATTTTTTCAGAACACAAGCTGTTAAATCAGCAATAATTCTACTGAATGTGAATACTGTGACTGCAACACTTGTTCTTCTAATTCTAAATAAAAAAAAAAATCTAAATCCAATCAATATCCCAGATTAACCAGAAGTTTACAGGAATGGAAAAGCTGGAATAGGTTCAGAGGACAGCAAGTAAGATGATGTAGGAGGTAAAAACCAAGCCTTATGGAAGGATTAATGAGCTGAGATAGTTAGTTAGGGTTAGGGTTAGGGTAGTAGATTCCCTTTTGCTGAAAATTTTGGCAGGATGGCAGCTGCCAGAAATACCTTACAGTAGTGGATTCTGATAAATGAACAGTGAGCTGAACTAAATGATTTACAACATTCCTTCCCACTTTTATGTTTTGTAAATATGTATATTCTTTATATGATTTCAGCAACAAAATTGGATTTTGTTTCTGCATTTTACAATTTTATGTCAGGTATTGACCTTTGAGAGCAGTAAATAAAGGCAGGGTTATTCAAATATTATACAGTACTGACACTTCAATTATCTTTACGAAGTTATTAACCTCTGTGTTTTTATAATATGCTGTATGTTTCTACAAAATATGACACTAAGAAAAAAATGTTTTTACTTCATTAATGGATATTTATTATGCAGATGGTACTAAAAAGAAAACACTATAGATTCGTTTTTTTAACAATGCTAACGGAAATTTTATATAACAGGTAAAGCTTTTATAGCTTTTATGGATTATAATAATGGATAATACATGCCAAGAGATTCTATCAGCAAAATTTTAACTAAATTAAAGTCTTATATGCAGAGGAATAGCTAATTAAATGTATTACATTTTAAAGAGCTAAATATTATGATCAACCTATTGTGTAATTTCCTACAAAGGGAAACAAACAGCAGCTAAACTAAAAGTAATCTGAACAAAAATATTCATGCTTACCATTATCAAAGTATCTTACAGTAGAATTTCTCGAAACGCTGGGGTCAAAATTGGCCATCAAGGGTGCAATATACTGGGTTGCTGTTAACATCTGATGCACAACTTCTCCTGTGTAAATAAACCCTGTAAAAAAGAGAAGAAATAGCAAAGTCACATCACTTGTCATTAAAAAGATAATACATGCTACTCTTAATTAGAGGCTGCCAAAGTGTCGTAGAATTTGACCAAGAAAATTATTTTCAGTCTTTATGAATGTATCTGAGTTGCTAAAGAACATCAGAATTTCAATGATGGAAAAAGTAAATATAAAAGCAAAAAGAAGGATCAATCTTGATAGGGGGAAAAATCAACTTCAAAGATAAGCAAAGCTTTAGGGGAGGGTTTGTGAACATCAACCACTCTGAAAAGAGGGAAAAAATTTAAACAATTACACAAAGGGTCTTCTGGATTCACAAGTTTGATTGCCTCTTATGATGTGAAAACAACCATGCATATTGTGGCATTTTAAAAATTACTACACTTATGTAGCACAACCTTTTGCAAACTATGCTCATGCACTGTCACGGATATATCTAGACAGATATATTGCAATATCCGCCTTGAGTCCTTAGGAAGAAGGGCGGTATACAAATTCAAAAATAAATAAATAAATAAAATAAATATATATTGCACAAGGATTCAGAGCATTGAAATTATAGGGAAAAATAAATCCAATGAAGTACAGACTGTGTTAATTACTTTAAACCTTAATTATTTCAGTAGCTATTCACAAACATATATAGCTTTTCCCCATGTAGATTTTGTTTTAAAAATTTTTAAACAGTAAGGAATTTAGTGACTTTATCCTACCTGGAGAGTTCCTATTATTGGATTATCTCCCTCTCATTCACTTTTTCTCTCATCCACACATTTAAGTGCTGTTGAATTCAGTTAGAAACACCAGATTACAAAAAGGACAATTTTATACTGCAGGTTTCCCAATCTGTTGCTATTATTTTGATTCATGTTAGATTGTGTAATTTCTTTCTAAAGCAACCACATTCAATGGATACTTTCCAGATGCGTTGGACTGTAAATCACATTATTCCCAAATGATGCAACTTATAGGCAATGCTGCAAACTGTATCCACCAGGCACCAGGCAAACTATAATTTCATCTTTAAATTATATTCCTTAGTAAATATCAATGAATGATTTCAACCTTTTTCTTGAAGAGAGAAAAATAATTACAAATTCATCATTGTTTCTAGGATCCAATGACAACTCCAATCAATAAAAGCTGGAAAGTCACAAGATTAATCAGATTTAAATGAACAGATATTTATTTAATCTATTTGTATGTCACCTCAATTACAAAAGCAACTGTAGAATTTTACTTGATGTATTGAACATTTTATCATTCTCACTCACTGAATCAACCACAAATGTCAGCTAAGCAGATTCTTGAATAGACTTCCACAGACATTTGGCAAAAACTTGTTTACATTGTCTAAGATCCAGTTTTCCAATAGTTTTTGCTCTTAGTTGATGCTACAGGAGCCTGTGAAAGTGTTCCAAACCTACAGTTTCCTAAAGTATTTAATCTTCTTTTTTGAAAGGACCTTGAAGCTTCTAAAATCTTCCTCATCTTGGTTCTCTTCAGATGTATTGGACCTCAGCTCTCCCAATCCCAAACAAGCACATGCTAACTGTGAATTTTAGGAGTTGAAATTCAACATTCTAAAAAGAAGTACCTCGGAGAAAGCTGATCTATAGTTCAAAACATATGACATTTTGTTCTAACCTACTGGAATAAATTAATGTAATTACTAAGTTACCAAAGGAGATTATAAATTGCAATACAATTTAGAGAATAAGACTAAGTCATTTAAAAACAAACATAGAAATGACTTGTGCAGCTGCTGTTATAAGTGCTTTTGTTATAAATAAATGTTCTATGTCTTAAACATATGTCCCTCAGTGTGCTTAGTAATATGGATGGCACACTCAAATAATAAAATGTATTATTTACACTTTATAACAGCATTCCTCTAATAGCACTCAGTGGTACTGTGTGTCAAAAGATGGTTATCCCAAATGTGGAAATTCTACTTATGAAATGGCACAGGTATTTAGGAAATCCCAATGGATGCTTTCAAACTCTGAGAAATTTCTACAGTAGATTGATCTTTGCTCAAATCTTTATCAATTTCCTCTTTCCCAGTTTTAGATGCCATATTTTCTTAGTTCAGTTTTTCCTTCTTTATACTGATAGACATTCAGTGATGTAGATTCCAATTCACAAAAAAATGCAAGGAAAGGTAAGATAATTCTCCCTCAGCTTTAAGATTTTTGACACCAATTTGCTCACATTGTATAATATCTGCCATTTTGATATTTGGTCCCCTATTAAAATCACCTTCATTTTAAGTGTATGCCTACAATACATTTAAAGCTCTTACTATTAGGCCACTAGAATTGCATCTACCGCTGCATCATAATAAATACATTAAACTCTTCCTTCTCCCCCAGCATTGTGCCTTCAAGTATAAAATCCATTTGATTTATTCCAAGCTTTATAGGTTCCTGAGCACAGGGTGAAGAAACCTGACTAGGGGAGGAACTATTTTTTATTATTTCAGTATTAGCCTATAGTAATACAGAAGCCTACAGAAGCCTACAGAAGCCTAAGAATAAAATATTATAAAATATTTTGTACTAGGCATACACTTAAAATGAAGGCAATTTTAATAGGGAAGCGAGTATCAAAATGGCAGGTGTTATTCAATGTGAGCAAAATGGTGCCAAAAATCCTAACTATTCATACAAACAAATGAGATCTGAGCTGTCAGTGACTGATGAGTAAAGAGATCTTGAAATAATGATAAAAAGTTTGGTCAAGGTAGCACAATGTACATCTGCTATAAAAAGGTTCAACACAATGCCAGGGATAATAAGAAAATTTTTATTTTATTAAAAAGAAAGATACCAACATTATAATGCCTTTATATAAATCAGTGGTGTGACTGCATGTAGAATGTTGTGTGCAGTTCTGGTTACTGTACCTTGAAATGGATATGGAGAATTAGAGAAGGTTCAGAGGAGCCAACTAATATGAGCAAGCAGCTGAGGCAGATTCTCTAGGAAAGGTTGTGACATTTGGGGCTTTTTAGACTAGAGAAGAAGCAAATGAGAAGGAATGGAATGAAATGTATAACATTATATATGGTAAAGACAAAGAAAAGCTATTTTTCCTTTCCCAAATATTAGAATCAGAAGTCATCTAATGAAATTTAATCCAACAGACAAACGTATGTTTATACAACACACAATTTAAGTCTGGAATTCATTACTACTAGATGCCTACAGAACTACCAGATTTGGTGCTGGCTACCAACTCAACTGACTTCAAAAAAGGGTTGGTACAATTCACTGAAGTCATGACAATCAATGGCTATTAGCCTTGATAGCAATGCAACTCTGAAGACCATTGCTTATGTTCAACATGTGATGTTCAGGAAAAGACTTTCAGTTCCACTACTGATCCCTGCTCTTTTAGAAATTCCCATTCTTACTCCCTATCTTTCAATCTTCAGCTACCAATTAGGAGAGAAAAAAAAAAAAAGAGAGAATTTATATCATTGCTGTATTTATAAACTAGGAATCATATAAATAAACATCACATCACCAATAGATCCAGAACAACTTTCTTCTCAACTTCCTCTTAGCAATAATTGAATTTACACATGAACTGAAAATCTGAGCATATTTTAGTTATATAGCGGTTTTGCATCTACATAAGGCATATTTTGGTGAAGCAGCTTAACCTCAGAGTGGTATTTCTCAAGACTACAGAGAAAGATCAGGCTGTTTGTCAAAGAAGAAGCTCATTTTTTATAACTGAGACAGTGCATGGTGAAACCATATGTTAAAAGCTTAGTGATACAGGAACTGCTTACTAAGCTGAAAATATAACTGTCTACTAGCAATGATTACACAAGGAATGGTTTTGTCTGATAAACAATTCCAATGAGCACAGACTACTACGTTATTTGAGTATGCCAGTCAATGTGACTTTATAAGACAGACTATTATGCTGAAAGTCAACATTTATAAAGAGTCCCTTTTAAAAGATAAAATTTTAGGTAAACTCTTCTTCTAGCCTAGAGGGTTCAAAGACAACAGTATTGCTTATGTAATCATATAATATCACACTGTCATGTTGAAAATGCATAGATCAGCACAACAGGCTATAAGGTATTTACTCCCACTTGCTGAGGCCTTCAAAATGTGTAAGCTTTCCAGTTCTTATTTAAGCCAGACAAGTATCATGCCAGCTCTACTAGTTATTTCCCCCCAAATAAATTCCAGTGAAATTGAAAAATATAGCAGAATATGAATAGGGGAAGTTGAATATAGCATATTAGTATGTGACACATTTGCTATAGTCCTGGAAAGTCTGATCAATATTATTCCACATGGCAGGGTTTAGTATAATCTTTAATATTTTAAAATCAGGGTAGCTTTTATATATATTATATAATTCATTTGTTTGTTTGTTTTTGGTTTCCTTTCTGTACACTACAGTTGTAATAGTAATGATCATCACAATTATTATCATCATTCTATCCACAACTTGGCTTCAATTTTAGTAACTAAAATTCTTTGACTATTTCCTACCTTAAAGGCGGACGTTTGGTCTCTAGATAGAGTTATAGCACTCTCTAATCCATACCTGCTCATTTCTTGTATCTTTATAACAAGCCTGTTTTTCCCCTGGTTGCAACAAAGATTGAAATTCTATGACCAGTGAATAGAGACAGGATTTTCTTTGGTGGGTGTCATCCCACATCTAAAGAACATACCGCAAATAGCTTCCCCTGAGCCCATTCTACTATCTTTTCAGCATCTTGCATAATTTTCCTCATACTGATCAGCATGTTTTAGAGTCTATTTTAACTGCTGGTTTGAGTCAGTTCTTTGTCCTTTGATCCTGTGCACAACCCTGGAAACTTATACTGATGAACAGTGGAACAAAGACATTTACAAGACCCCACTGATTTTTTAATGCCATATGATTCCTGCAGAACAGCAGCTGCAGTATCTATTTCTCGCCAATGCCTGTGTAAGTAATGATACCATTT